TCAAAATCAAGAAAAAGAACTCCCCTGCGCGAATAGATTAGATTTGAGTTTCCAACAATCTAACTTTCTAACAATTTGAGTTTTGAACAATCTACACTATTTGATTCTTTGTTGTCTCCTTCAACCATTTCTTGAAATCCGATGTGCCAATGATAGATCTGAATCACTTGTTACCTGTACAGATTAGAGAGAAAGGTGAAGTGGTGGTGCGACAGTGGTGTTGCGTTGAAACCTTCAAACCATAAGAAATCTGTGAGAAATGCAATGATTCAAACCTTCACACCCTTGAGACCTGTGAGAGAGAAACAATGGTGGTGCGGCAAAAAACAACAACATTGAAGAGACTTTAATGGTTGAAACTTACTTCAATGGTGGAATAGAGAGCTTAGACAAAAAGCTCACTTCAATTGTCAAAACCTTAATAACTTTTGAGTTTTGACCCTCCCCTAGAACAATTCTCTCAATCCAACCAACCCTGAACCTTTTATGACCCAATAGGTACCTTCGACTCAACCCATCATGACCCCTCTTCCTCTTACCCTAATGGGTCACTCAACCCATATTGACCCATTACTGAAATGGGTGGATATGGGTGGGATTTTAAGTGGGTGGGTCAAAAGGGTAGGGGTCAACATTGCCAGCCCTACATTTTGCAGCCCTAAATTTGACGGCATGATGACTTCTACATATTTTCGAGTTAAATTCTCACTTGCCTTTTCAAAAAGTTAAATTCTCACTTACGCTTATGCAATTATGCACGATGCTTTTATGGGAATTTTCTCATCACAAATGTTTTTTTTAGTCTAAAATGAAATATATTAAAAGCTAACTATCAAACATACAACGCCAACTACTACCACTGTCATAAAAATCCTACTAAAGTACTTAACAAACATCAAATGAAGGATTATTAACACATCACGATTAGACCAGTTCATGAGCCGGGCTTGGGCTTGGCTTTTGTCAAAATTCTAATGGGCCTGAGACAGTGTAAAGTTGGGCCCAAAGCCCAACCCATGAACATGCCTAATCACAATAATAGTGTTGCACTTTGGACTCGTCGATAAGTTGTCATGGTCTTTCCAACAATTCTATGACCATGTTGAAGATATGTAACTTACCAGTTCAAACAGTTTTGTTTTTTGTGTTTGATGGTTTGGATGATAGGGAGTCTAATTCAAAGATGATTGCATTGTATCCTTCATCCCAGGCTCAATCCTTCAGCAATGGCTCATAGTTTTGCAACTTCAATTGTAATTCACTTACCTTAACACAGATAATCATGATTCCTGTTGCTGCCTAGAATGGGCTGAGGGCAATAATGTAAATTCACTTCCATTAGTCGAGGTCTATCAAGGCCGACGGTTGATGTGTTCGAGGGATGATTAGTCTAAGGGCTTGTAAGTCCGATCTATAGAGGACGTAGCACATTACAGGCCCCGAGTGTTATCCCAAGGGCGGAGACTCTGACGGTCAAGTTAACAAGGGCGTAACAAGGAAGGTAAGACGAGGCCTGGGTAGGATAGCTCAAACAAGGTCACCAGGAAGCTAAAGAGCTGGGAGCAATAAATGCCAAGATGGCTTACCTCATTGTGATGCCACTTATTTGTACTTGAGCCAGCCAAGAGTTAATTACGAGTGGACGGCTAGGATGCGATATGCCTTGTGCTGCGCGTCACTATCTAAGACTGCCACATGTGCGTGTACCGTTGAGCTTGCCATATGCGCCCATATCAATTCCCATTGCAAATCAAACTTAATATCCCACATAATTTCCAATTCCCATAGCTGATCCAAACTAGAGTGCAGTAAAAAGAATTCCAAATCCATATAAGATTCGAAGGTTGCTAGGCAGGTTAGTCATGAATTCATGATAGCTCCTTCACAAAACAACCATAAGTGTGGGATTCAAAAAACACACATTACAGGGGTAAATTGATGAACAAACAGTAAATTCTTTGTAATATGGTTGATAGCTCCGAAGTCAAGATATCAACTGGAATCACCAACTTGAGACATGGTTGATGCTATCATGGTTGAAGATGCCATTGGTTTAGAAGGAAATGCCCCAATTATCAGGATGGTTGTAGCAACTTAGAGCAATGTGGCATGGACGACCACAAATCTGGCACTTCACCAACATGGAAACATTGTTCTCTTGCTCAACTTTAGGCTAAGTAATCTGAGTTTGAGGCTTTCAACTTATTTTTGTCCTTTGGAGGGATTGAGTATGTTGGCCTTAGTCACTATCCTTTGCTGCAACATTTGTAGATAAAAGTGGAGAACCAAGAAGAAATTCAGAATTATCTAACATAGTATTGTTATTGAGAAACAAAACATGAACTTCATTAAAGTTGCATTCAACAGCTCAATTAGAGGGGTATTTAGAGACTCACTGTCTCAATCCAATCCTCCAAGGATGTGAATGATATCCATCTTTAATAGTACTAGATAATCTTCCACAAATAAGGCATCAACTAAGTTTTTGGCTTTTGGATACTTAAACATTGGCATAGAACCCTCCTGTAGATGTTCTTAGCGAAACCGCATTATGTGAGCGTTGGACGTTGAGCACAACAATCAAGCTAGAGAATACCAGCACTTTTTTTTTTCATAGAAACACCCACTACTTGTGCCAAGATACCTTCGATAAGAGGAACAAGAAATCATCCACGAATGAATTGATCTTTCTATTCCCATTCTAGGGTAGGGTTGATGGTTTCCTTTTCACATGCATCAGATGCATACTTTGAGGGACAAGGAAATGCACCTATAGCTTAACCAGAGTTTTGCTCCTTGTAGTGTTGGTTTAAACTGTGAACACAAAAAATGGTCATGGCAATCTAACTTGACAAGAACAAGTTGACTAATGCTGAACACAAGGTTCTAAATATTGACACCGGCCTGTGTTGGTACATTTTTTAAGTTCTATTTATCTTTTCAAAACTGGTTCAGAGGGGTTGATTTAAGGCCCAACTACCCTCTGAACTGGTGGTTGACTCGACACAACCCCTGGAGGAGCGTATCAGTAAGCCATCAGCATGATACATATCGATACTTTGAACCTTGGCTGAATGGAACATTAATGCTAACTCTAGTTAAAGAAGACAGCCTTGATCGGTATCCATTGGCTTTGACAACATCACCAAAACAATGAAAAAACAGAGAGTATTTGAGAAACTCCACAAAAAATGAGCTAGGTCGACTGTTCATTATCCACTCCTTGATATTTCAGCATTCCTTTCCTTTCACTATTATCTAGAAAATTATATACAATCATTCTTAACATAAAAAATTATATAAATATAACAAGAAACTTAGTAAATCGAATTGACATGATTACCAATTCATTCCAACCACTTGCATAAACTCTTTGTGCCAACAGTGTGCTTTAATGGTTATATAGGGCAATTAACTTTATTGGTCATAGCTTGTGCCTATGATCATATACAACTATGTTAGCATTTCAATCCACATTCAATAAACATGTCTACTAAAATATTTAGAACTTACAATTCCCGCTTCGGACTTCCAAAACTCAACTAAATTTCCGTTCATTTTGATTTATATTCATTTCCCAATTTGTATTGATTCTACATTATCTCGATTCATGTCAAGGTACTTGATCTTCAAAGTGGATTTCCAATCTCTCCACTTTTTAACTAAGGACTTCATCGAATAGTTTTTCAACCACTCAACCTCAATTTTTTTCCAGAACCAAAATAATATAACAATTAGCACGATTGTGCAACATAAATAATGAACTTAAAAAAGTAATGTGTTGAATGACAAAATTAAATGTTATTAAAATGCAAGAAGCATAAAAGAATGACAAAATTAAATGTTTGTTAAGCAGCATTAACATATAAAATCTAAATGCAAGCAAGCATATAAGCACAAATAAGAGATAAAAACAAAGTTATGCATAACCATGCAATTCCATAATAATACCACATAGATATGCAAAATAATTGTTGTTTAAAAGTGTTTTAGACTTAGACTAGACCAGATTGTCAAATAGATCAACTCAAGAACCGGAAGGCATTCTAGTTTTTAAAAACCCCACTTATCATTTATATGAAAAAACAATAAAACCAATCAAAACTTAGCAGGACCATTGAAAACTGTCTGGATTTCAATGACTCAACTAGTTTTCATGACCTGCATGAGTCACTAATAGTTACAAATTTCAAAATGGTGATAAAAAGATTTGAACATGGGCTCTCTTAATTACATGTATTAACATTAAACCATCAACCCATCATATTTTCTGTGCTCAATTTTGTCTTTTTTAGTACATATACCAATTAAGTACATGCATATTCTAAAAGAATGCAAACTAAAACATTTGAACCCTAATAATCTCTCTCTCTCTCTCTCTCTCTCTCTCTCTATATATATATAAAGCAACACTTCATCTTTCTAGCCACTACTTACAAGTCTGTTTTAGCTTACAAAACCTAAAATAAATGGTTTTGATGCGACTCGCAGTCAAACCATTTACCCTGACAGTCATACCATTTGACTCATGACCCAATAAGAATTTCAGCTTTATGTCTGGTTTGAATCTTAAAACATTGGTTTATAGATTGCTCTTATTTGCCAATTTAACAAAAAACATCAATTAGACATCAATAGCTTTGAAGCAACTTTCAAAGCCCTCATGGAAAGATTAGTGTTAGGATCTAAAAAAGGTTAAGCATGTTGGTCTAGGTGAGTGAGTTAGGCTCAAATAGGTTGGGCTAGGTTGGATGGACTAGATTGAGTTTGGTTGATATGTAGCTAGACTGGATTTGGCTTTAGCAGATTTGATTAGAGTACATAATTGGCTTTGATTTGACCATGTAAATATGATCATACTTTCTAGTGTAGTAATAGATAAGCACATTTGCAAATATCATCATCATCCAATCCATATCCCAATTATATGAGGTAAGCTACATGAATCATGTTTCACCATTCCATTCTATATGCCATATGCAAAAAAAAAAAAAAAACAAAAAAACACCTAGTGCTTAGATCATTTCTTACTACTTCAACCCATGTCCTTTTTGGTTTGCCCATATCCCTTCTAGCTCCTTCAACTTGCAGCAAATAACTTTTTATGGATGTTGTCAAAGGTATTCTATGCACATGACCAAGCCATCTTAGTCTATTTTCTTACATTTTATCACTTATCCAAGCTACTCCTAGATTCCTCTCATTTCTAACCATGTCCTTTATAGTTTTTCCACACACCCATCTCATCATGCAATTTATGCCACACGCACTTTTTGGACATTTTATTTTTTTGACTACCTAACACCCTACTCCATACAACATGTCTGGCCTTACTGTTAGGGCCTCACAACAACCACCCACAATATAAAATAACAAGGTATTTGAAATAGCAACAACGAGAAATCTGATATAAGCAAAAATGATAAAATCCAAGTAAAGACAAATAAAGACAAGCACTACAAAGACACAAAGATTTACGTGGTTCGGCCTGCCTACGTCCACGGGAGAGATGAAATCTGTTCTTCACTATGAAAGAAAACTGAGAACAATACAAGTACCATGCGGCTTGCAGCCCAAACCAACCCTTATCCTTGTACACCCGTTCTCTATTTCCTCTTAACCCGAAGAACAAAAACAAGAGAAGAAAACTCACTTTCACACCAAGAGCACTCTGTATTTTTCTCTTACACCTTTTCTCCCCAAAACACCTAAATCCTACATACAAAAGAAGGCTTTTATATGTAAAACCTTTTTAACCTAAAGAGGGACCACACCAACCGTTAGATTAAAATTAATCCAACGATTGTAAAATAAGACAATCCCAACAATCTCCACCTTTGCTTATTTTTCAACCACCATAGAGATATACTATTTGTGCCTCCACCTGTTTGCAAATACCGTAAACCTCCATTAGCCTTGTAAAGCATCACCAGCTACAAATAACCTAAATCATTTGGTCCTGACTCCACCTGATTCAAACAAGACGGCCAATGTACCTATGTAACTGTTCCCAAGCTAACAATCCTAGTTAACTTCAGAGAGGGACCTCGATCTTTCCTCTCTTCCAACAGGAATCTTCCTCTCACCATCATCTATACTTTGGAAACTTGTAGCACTTGTCTCCACTCTATCCGCAAAAGAGACCCTCTGTGTGGCCACACTACCTTGCGCATTCTGTTTCCAACACTCCATCGAGGTCTTGGAAACCACTGTACTCCCAACCAGATGATACAAACCCTTGCATTTTCTCCCTTTATCAGGATCATACCGCCACGTATGATTTTCATAACTCCACCTGCAACAAAAACCTTGCATCCCTTGGAGTCTAACCAGCTAAGTGATATTAGATTCTTGCACATTTTTGGGACATACGCCACACCACCCAAAGTGCGAACCACTTCATCAAACATTTTGATTTTCATTGTCCCAACACCCGTGATGTTACATGTATATCCATCACCCAAGGAGACCACTGGTCTTCCTCTCTTGGAACGTGTCAAAATATTCCTTCCTAGAGCAAATATGCATAGAACATCCAGAATCTAAAACCCACTTATTTGGAGAAAATTTGCACATACCTTCAGAGACTGTGAAAACGTCTCCATCATCATTAGATGCAATTGCCACGCTTCTGAATTCATCCCCACTCCTTTTTCATGTAGGACAATCTCTCTTCATGTGATCAAATTCCTTGCATATATAACATTGTACTTTACCCTTTTCCTTAGCCTTGGATCTAGACCTGTTGCTCTCAGACCCCCTGTCAGAAGACCTTCCTTTTCGATCCGTTCCCACCATGACCAACGTAGAGTCTTGCCCGTTCTCATATTTGGGCTTCCTCCTAATCTCATTGGATAGAAGAGATGTAGTAACTTCTTCCAACTTCACTGTATCTTTCCCATACAGCAATGTTGTCACCAAGTTTTCATACGAATCAGGAAGTGAGGTAAGAAGCAAAAGGGCCTTGTCTTCTTTCTCCACCTTGACATCAACTTTCCCTAGTTGATCCAAAATACCCTTGAACACATTTAGGTGTTCAAAGAGATTCCCACCTTCTTCCATCTTCAGCCCGTACAACTGCCGCTTCAGATATAGCTTTGTAGTTAAGCTTTTTCCCAAATAAAACTTCTCCAGCTTGTCCCACAATTCTAGTGTAGAATCTTCCTCCATAACATTATCAGTCAGGAGCAATCGAAGCATACTAACACATCTTGACTCGATGTCCTCCCAATCAGCATCCTTTATGTCTTCTGGCTTCCCATCCTTTTCAACACTCTAGCCAAGCCTTGTTGAACCAGGATGTCCTTTACCCTTCTTTGCCATAGGGTAAAACTGCCTTTGCCATCAAACCTTTCAATCTGAAACTGAGAACCTATACCTTTTGCTACCATTATCTCTCAAGCAATTTTATAAACACTAACCTGGGAGCTCTGACACCACTTTGTTGGGGCCTTACAACAACCACCCACAGTATAAAATAACAAGGTATTTGAAATAGCAACAACGAAAAATATGATATAAGCAAAATGATAAAATCCAAGCAAAGACAAATAAAGACAAGCACCACAAAGACACAAAGATTTACGTGGTTCTGCCTTACCGCCTACGTCCATGGGAGAGACGAAATTTGTTCTTCACTATGAAAGAAAACTGAGAACAATACAAGTACCTTGCGGCTTGCAGCCCAAACCAACCCTTACCCTTGTACACCCGTTCTCCCTTTCCTCTTAACCCGAAGAACAAAAACAAGAGAAAAAACTCACTCTCACACCAAGAGCACTCTATATTTTTCTCTTACACCTTTTCTCCAAAAAAAAAAACCTTAACCCTACATACAAAAGAAGGCTTTTATATGTAAAACCTCTTTAACCTAAATAGGGACCACACCAACTGTTAGATTAAAATTAATCCAACGGATGTAAAATAAGACACAATCCCAACACTTACAACTATTTTATAGAATTTCCCTTTAATCTAGATGGTATTTGCTTATTAAAAACATAAGAATATTTTTATAATACAAAATCTATTAAAGCATTTTTAATATTAACCTCTCTAGCTCAAAAAATATTGTTCATTATATATTTTAAAAAACTTACATTTAATATACCCATAATTTTTGCAATGCAAGTATTAGTTCAATTGCTTATATTCCTTGGGCTTATTATTATTCTGTGTATGGTTTGATTTTCTAAAAGACATAGAAAGAGAAAGCCAACAAGCTCAATAAGAAGCTATAGAATTAGATGTTGAATTTCCCTTTTCTCTCCATCCTTTGGCATCGTCGAGAGAAAAATATGAAAGTTCAATTGTTTGCCTTTGAAAGAATTTTTTCCATTCTTTTTTATCTTTTCAAGTATGATGCTTTTTGGTATTATTTTGGGTTGTGTCTTCAAATGTGAGCCATTTACAAGTAAATAACCCAATAGATGAAATTTTAATAGGTTGGGTGGTTTTGGGTCATGCATTACATAATGGATATGGATAACCAATACCATTAAAGACTCTATATGTATCTTGCAATCCATCTCTACCTTAATCTACACTCGACAACCCAGGGGTCCAAACCCTTATCGATCTGCCATCACACCAAACATCACAATAGCACTTGACCCTATTCTCAGCTTCCACACAACACAACCATTTGTGGATGTCAAGTTCAGACTTGGCAGTCCGTTTCCTCCAACAAACAACACAACAACCCATGGAGGGCAAGTCCATTGCACCCTAGCCCCACTCATGTATTCCGTACTTAGCTAGAAGTACACCTGTCCACCACCCACCGTCCTGGTTACCAAGTTTAGCCGTTTGGCAAGTCTTTTTTGAAAACTCTTCTGGGAGATCTGATAGCCAAAAGACGTAGTGGACTTTTACATAAAGATCTTGGCAGCCCACAACCCGTTTGGTTGGAGGTACGTCTTTCATGCATATTTCCTCTCGAAAATGAGATGAAATAAGTCGAAAAGCTCCATTTAGAGCTTCTTGAAAATAGCTTGAAATGGGCTTCCTGTGTATTTTTAGGACTACGTTTTTTCGGTAGCTAGACCTTTTCCCAACCAAACGGGAAAAGGCAAAAACGCAGGCTGCTGGACTTCTGAAAAGCCGTTAGCCTACACAAAAAGACACGCCAAACAAGACCCTAGAAAACAGAGAATCACATCTTTCATCTTATTCACACCTAATTCCCTTGTTCTTTTTAAAAGAGTAGACCATCTGCAGGATTCATGGAGGCTGGTTGTAGGTCAGCATGGACAACAACACGATTCTAATCAGGATGACTTTACTCTATCCCCCCTCCTCTCCCATCCCCCTTTGACAGATATATAGCCCTCGATCGGTAACACTACACTCCAATCAAGCCTCTACATTATGGGATCCCACAAGACAACCAAGCAAAAATCTGGCTCCCATAGGAAGCACAAGAAATTTGGATGGTGAGGACCTGCCCTTGCACCCGATCGTATTAGCCAACTAATTCTAGTTATCTCAATGCCCTACTGCCATGCTTCCACCCAACCTTGTTAGCCAACACATTTTCATTGCAGTAGCTGCTTGGCCGACGCACACACAAAGAGGATCAAACAAATAACCATGCAACCTACAACCTTCCAAGTCGATAACCTCAGACAACCTAGCCATCCGGGAGAAAAATAAACAATAACATGATGCAGGTACAAGAACACCATCTCATAAATGGTGCTAATTTAGAAAACAACCATACCCATTACTCATAAGAGGCTCTACTCAGGGGATCCTATGTTGCAATATTTGGGCACCAATCTCCAGTGTAGTACATTAATCTTTTTCTACAAAGCAAAGACCCGTTTAGTACCAACTAATGAGCATAGACGTAAACCATTCAATCAGAGACAAATTCTTGCCTGCTTACTAGATCAAAGTCGAAGCACACATTCCGTGCAAGACATTTCATGTACTTCATTACAAAGAAACCACATTCGCTGTCCCTGTACAAAATTTGCAACGATCAGTATTTGTGGATACACAGGATAACCTTACAAGTGCAAAATACCAGTAACATTGTTCCATTCCAACGTACACAAGTTGCTCCAATGTTGAGTCAACAAATTCATATGGCCATCCAAAGATCCTAGGAAGGATTAGCGCCAACTTATCAATTAGTTTTGACTACTGACAAAGAATGAAAAAACAAATATGGATACATAAGTAAACCGACCGACATGCTCTTAACGATCCGATTTTGTAAGATAGGAGTTTGTGTTGGCTGATATCAACCACCAATAATTGCTAGTGCGTACCATCCATTATTGATATGAAGACCTTTTCTGATGCCATGATCGGATTGAGCCGAAGCCATTTGTACAGATCTTTGTCACGACCGCTAGCAAAATATAGTTGCAGTACATAATGAAATTTAGATAACTAAAAAGCGGTGCAACGCCAAACGGTATGCATTTTAACTACCACTTACTCTACAAAACTTACTGGGGCCATCGACAATACGTAGAAAATTTTCACAGTGTTGGTGGGTCTTGTAATCAACAAGAATCTGTATGTATCTAACACCTGCAAAACATCAATGAAAAAAATCACCATGGGATACAAACGAAATAAAGATCTAGTCAGCGCAAGTAAGCTACTATTAGCGGTTTGTGCCGCATGTTGCCAATGATATACCTTGTCATACACCCAAGCATCTAGGTCGAATAGGCGCTGCATGCATCGTGCACTCAACCACACATGACCATTACTCCATACATATTCCTCCCTGCATTAAAAGGTTTCCATTCATTAGAAACCACCAAAAAAAGGGGGTTAGCAATGAAGCACCTACAGGAAACCAAGGTGCGTACTTACTCTCCCATGGAATTGTGCAAGAACGACTTAATGACCACCAAATCATCTTTGTGTAGTAGCTTCCTCTTCTTAAAGGAAGACTAGATCGATGGTCCATTGGGAGGCTATGACAAAGACATCGGTAGTCACTACGCAAATAAGAAATTCAAACCTATAGACAACAACTAATAATTTCATTTTACCTTCCCCTGTTGCACTTTCTTTGAACTAGCAGCAACGACAAACTCCTCCGCAACCAGCCCATGTTGCCCTAGAGCTTGATATGGGGAGACCACTAGGCTACTGTAGAACCACTCTCTCCTTGCCTGAGTTGATATTTGTTTGTACATGGACACACCGGAGGGAGATGGCTCAACAATCTCACAAGATCGGGATGTCACTTCTGAAGTAACCCATTCAAGAGAGTTTGCTGCAACGGTGTTGCCATGTAAAACAACAGGGGGCACAATGGCACAAGCATACTCATCTTCTGGCTATCAGGAGAATAATGCTAACACACCCTTGCTCAAAGGGACTCCATCAGGATCTAAGCCATTGGATGTCAGCATTGCATAGAGCCTATTGACCTCAGTGCAAAGCGTTGCATTCTGCTTGATCGTTGATGCATACTGGCTGGCCTCCATTCAAAGAATTTGGTATTCTAGTGACTTGATGCAAGTTTTACAGAAACCCTGGACACAAAAACAAAGAAATTAATTAGTACATCTCATTAGATGGCACCATGTGAAATATTAATCATATCATGGAACTAGAGTCACAAATACCTTCCTCCCTCTATGCTTGCAAAGAGGATCAAGGTAATCACTTTCACCAAACCTCTCCTCATTACTTGGGTTGGCCATCTCAGCAACCTGATTACTATTGGACTGTTCCAGGATTGGACTCAATAAGACTAAACTCATAAGTTATACTAACCGAGACCTCTGCACCTACATCCAGTAAGGGCAGCTCCTTAGCGCTAGGGGTAAAAAATTCAACAACCTATAAAGGGTTCACGTATCATTGTGTTAACTTAGGCATCTCAAAATCTCAAAATCCAACAAAACAAAAAAAAATAATAACATGATTTAAGGATATAAATTAAGTACAAAATTAACTCTAATATTCTTCAATGCATTTGATCTTGTTAGCTTCCATTGGTACCCCAACTTCGCCCACTTAAATAATTAGTGACTGGTGCTAGGAATTGACGGAGTGAACATCAATTGTGCTCATACAGCGTCTGCTCATGAGCATGTGTCGAGTAAGTGAAATTTAGATACATTAAATTTGAAAAGAACATGACAACTAACCAATAGTGTGACGCTGCATCAAAATAGGTTGCCACTAATGCCAGATGTGCCTCTACTAGAATCCCCCTGGGCACCAATTACGAGCCCATCTAGGCTAGCTATAAGGTAATCATGCACACATCCCCCATGCATAATCTCCAATACACTATAAGTCGCCAGCCCAAATGGAGCTCACCTGGGAACTACCCTGAGGAAACAATATAGAGCAAAAGATGAACAGATTATCCAACAATTCCTGCACATGTTTCGTAGAGCATAGTGATACAATCTTGCCACCCAACATTTCTTATAATGAACATAACATGAGTAACCTATCTCCATAGTCACTACTTACAAAAAATCCCGTCTCAATCGATAGTAAAAGGGGTATGCACTGAAAAACGAATAGAGAACATGGATACATGGGATACACTGAAAAAGGGGTATGCATATCTATTCTTGGAATGCAAATGTCATGACTACAAAGTAGACACTGGTGGAATTGTTGCATAACATGTACAGTACATGAGCATACATCAAGGAAGATGATAGAAGATCTTGGGAGTGGGAGCAATCTGCAGAATTTTTAGTCACCTAGGTTTGACTATTTCTAAAGTGGAGAAGTGCCTCTATAGTGTTTTGTGACTACCACCAATGCCAACCAAACTAATGAAAGAATTCATAAAATGGCTAGAAGTCCAATCATACAATATCATGTAGAATGTGTAGTTGAGAATATATGTCCCTACAATTTCTTTTCATTGTTTGTTATTGATAGTTATCAGAGCAGTTTTGTGGTATCAAATAGAATCTTATGCATTTCAAATTTAAGAATGAATGAAGAGATGAAGGCCTCGTGCAATTCCTTGGTGTGACGTATCTCTACTATCATCGGATTGGGACTCTATGTTATCCTTCCTTGGTTGTGGTCTCATAACTTGCTTTATAGTGTGATAACTATGGTGTGCTTGGGGCCAATAGAGGATGGGAACTCAAATTGGGCAATGCTACCATCTTTTCATTAAGGCTCGCATTTATCTCCAATACGTGGCCCATTAGACTGGAGGTGGTGATAATTTGGACCAATGGAAAGGGAGAGATCCCATGGGTAATATGATGTACACTCAGGGAGGCCATGTTTCTAGCTAATAACCTAAATACCTCATTTAATTGATCCAGAAGATCTGTCCATTCCTTGGTAGATGAGCTTAGTAGAGAAAAAGCAAATTGGCTGGGGCTGTATTTTGGGCTTCCATTCCTCAGTAGGCAACATGGTACCACTACAACTTGGGAGTGGGTGAACTAGGTGTCTATTTTGTATTCATGAGGTAATTATTATCCTGTTGTCCTATTGTTGTTTTCATCATGCCGAAGATGACATCTTGCTAAGTTGGAAAGGTTTGTATTTACTGATTCATATACTGCATAACACTTACATTTTTTCTATCCATTTATGCAAAGTTAATAAATGCATATGCTGATTCCACACCATGCACAACCTGTATATTTCTTTTCTCTTGTTAGAGAACTCTTTTGTCTATCATTGGTCATGCCCACCTTAATCTGTCAGCGCCTGTTCCCACACCCATTTGGCACTGCAAAACTGTACAACAAATATCTCCATTTATGGAACATTATTCTACAACACATAATTGTCTCGATCACCAAGAGTTTTTTCCCCTGACAACAAAATAAGAATGGACAAGAAGAAAGAAACCAGGAACTTGATTCAAATAATGAATTTACCTCTTTAGGACTAGTGGTGGATAAGGTCATAGATAAATGGGAAACACAACTTTCAGAAATACTAGAATGAAATTAACAACAAAAAAATTGGGGCTGCGATATTCATCCGAGGTGGTTGAATACAATAACATCTAATCATTGACTATGCATTAATGTCTTCCCAAACCTAGAAAATTAGGGCTAGTCACTGCTTTAGAAAAGTGGGGTTGTGAAATTCACCCTGAGTGGTTGAATACAAAGACACCTGATCATTCACTAGCTATTAATATGATGTCTTCCCGAATCCTGGTCATCTTAGGACTAATCACAATCCATTAGGGTGTATGACACTATTGTTTCACATAGACTAACAAATAATTTAAACTAGGGATGCCATATTTCCCATCGAATGCTAGAATAACAGAGGTATATAAGGCTGCATTTGGCATTCATCATTTTTGCACAGGGAATCCATACGCACTAATCCGATATAGAGGTGGACTAAGGTCACAACACTACAACGATCAAACCAACACTCCAGCAAAGGGGACAGTGGGAGACTGATAGCAGGGAAAGAGTGCACTGCTGGATTGCAATGGATCCCTTGCTGTCAGGCAAAGACGATATGCAAGTTTCAGATGCAGCCTATTAGTGCCGTATCACGAACAACTACACATCGCCAGGAGCTTCACAGCTAAGAAGGGAGAACTTGCTCACCATTGGGAGGAAGATGAGGCAGAGCTTAACAAGAAAGAAGCCTCTTAGCACTACAAGAAAAACGGACAAAGGCGGCGGTCGTAGGACCGCCAGCTTAGCCCTTTAGACTGCCGCATCAAAGGTAAGGTGGCGGTCATGAGTCCACCCCCTAAAACCACTGCCGGCCTAGGTCAAGATCGCTGGCTTAGACAAAAAAGATTGTCGCCTTTGAGAACAGGTTCAACACGGTTCAATCATTCCTAAAGTGGCTCAAAGTTAATAAAGGTGGCGGTCTGAACCGCCGTCTTAGATCTCTTTGGACCGCCACCTTAGGTCGGTCAAAATGTTGCTTCCGTTTTTAGGTGCCGATCTAGACTATCGGCTTAGAACTCTTTAGACTGTCGCCTTAGGTCAATCAAAATGTTGTTGCCGTTTTTAGGTGGCAGTCTGGACCGCTGGCTTAGAACTCTTTAGACCACCACCTTAGGTCGGTCAAAATGTTGTTTTTGTTTTTAGGTGGCGGTCTAGACTGCCGGCTTAGACCGCCACCTTAGGTCTTTTTTTATGTCTAAGGCAGCAGTTGTATGACCACCAGCTTTGTTTTTTTACTTTTTATTATTTATATGGATTTGATTTCAACATTTTTTTTGGTACCTATTTAATACAGATCTCATGGCAGATAATACATAAAAATCAATTTAAATAAATTATTAGAATTAAAAATAAAAAACTTTTGATTAAATTATTAATTATTATAATATCCAAAACAAATTGCTTAAATACAATATCCAATTGACATACAAAAAAGTACAAGGCATTTAAAAAAAATCTTCTTGAATAATGTAACACATCTTCCAATACAAATCCACTTAACATAATGGTTTAACATGCAAATCATAACATATAAATTGTTAGATAATGTAAAGTAAATGAGATATCAAATATAATTCTTAATCAAATTGGAGTCGCATCCAGGTTTTGCACTCAAGGCTCAGTTTACGAGTATAAATATGGATATGTAGAGTGCAAAACCTTATATTTTATAAATTTGTATTGTGCACATGGAAACAGTACAAATACAAATATGTAGTTTTCAAAATTTGATTATCTCCATATAAAGCATTTTACACATTAATGTTTTCCACAACAACACCGGATACACATGCCATGCTTTTATCTTTCCCTATCCCACCTAGGTTGTGAAGAGAGTGAATATGACAATAAGAGACAAGATTATTAATATGTAAGCAGATATGTTCCACATTATTAATTTAAGCAAAATGAAAATTAAATTTAGCTGTATATTTGGGTCCATTTGAAATTAGCCCCAAATTCATAATGTGCAGTAAGGATTTTGATGGTTTCAGTGGCTTGTGAAGGAACCTCCATAGGCCCCATGAACACACTGATTGATGATAAAGAACCAAAGAGTTGTTCACAAAAAAAAAATCATATGCATGATATCCTTAGTGACCTATCTCATTGTTGTTTACCCTAACAAACTCATTCTACTTGCTTCTCCACTCATATTCTTCATCTTTAATCACCCACAACCCTCATTCAACCTACAAACCCACAACCCAGATCCTAAGTAGGTAGGACCCCCTACCCATCCAACACCAAAAGAACATCTATATTCTATAGCTCTCAGGGAAAATGCAACTAAATAACTAAAATCTAAATAACCCACAAGCCCTCACTCATATCTAATTCATCAATTACATTGCTTTTAGGCATTTTTAAGTTAAATAAGCTGTAAAGAACCTACAATAGTTGAACTTTCTAGTCTGGGCTTGTTCCACATTGCATAGTACTGATTTAAAGTGTGAGTGCATGCCTGAGCATCTTGAATGGTCACCTTGTGTATGCCTGCAATTAGAAGAAACTCATAATTAAAGGCATAGTGTTTCTATAATGCAATCCAAACATTACACTTAATTTACAAAATTGATCAAACACATTGGAAGTCATCATGAAATTCAAACTAGTGAGAACGAAAAATTGATGCCATGGCACCTGAGTTCCAAAAGCCATGCTCCTTGGCCAGTAAAGGAAGTGATTTCTTCACAATTTCCAGATCATTAGTCCTCAAGCATATTTCCAGCACCATTGAACTTGGAAGTGGAGGCTGGCTGCTCATAGTTCAAGCTTCAATTATATCAGAAACAACAAACATAGTAATACTTGAAGTATTTGCAATAAAGAGGAAATAAAAAATGACCCAACAAAATCCCAAGGAAAAAAGGTTGATAAGTACACGTATTCTAGGAGCTAAGCCAAATTATCAAGAGAAGATTGTTTATTTGCTCGAAGTCGAACACAAGATTGACCATGGTAGGATCCAATTAGTTTACGTGAATATAATATATATTGATAAATTTGGCAAAGACCTTTATATTCCTATTCAAGTATGCTAATATTTTAGTATTTTGGAATTCAAAAAGACTTTTTTGGAATTACAAATCAATAAACAGACTTTTTTGTATTCTTCTGAATGACTAAAAAATTTGGAGAATAGCATCATTTAACATACACATGTGCAAAATTTGGCTTACAATCATTCCATACTTTTCTAAAGAGACATCGAGAATGGATGCAGATCTGTTTAGCATAATGAAAACATATAATATAAATTTTAAAATTATATTCAAATATTTTAACTATAAAAGATAGACAGGGTAAATAAAACTTACATGGATTGAACTCCAAGCAATTGGAACACCAACAATGGTTTCAACTATTCCTTATCGTCCATATGGGCGCACTAGTGGTGCATCACTTATAATTGGAACATTGATCACGACCTTTGTCCATCCATAACCAAGTGGCACACCATCCACAATCTTCTGAGGATCTAAATTTGTAATGGTTGCTTTGGCAACAGATACAATTCCTCCTTGCATGAAAGTCGATAAATTACATTTTGTATTTTCCTGCAAATGCAATTGTCCTTGTCAACAAACACCTTATACTTTCTCGTTTGTGTTTAAATCAAATAACACTTACTAAAAACAATTGTGGTTCAGTGTTGAAGCTAAATTGATGATATAGAATTAATGAAACATAAATATCAAATAAATATTTATGAAATCAAGCATAAACTATTTAAATATAAATATAAGGGTGATACATTTCTATTAAGTAATTGAGCTTCCATCGCATCCATTCGTTCTCGCATTGATGCAATTTGTTCTTCCAGCTTCTGTGAACGCTCTTCAGCTGCTCTTTTACCTTCATTAGCAGCCCTCAAGACATCTTCATGGCTCTATTGTGGGCCCCTGAACCTAGATGGAGTTGGGCCTAAACCTAGACCATGCACTCAGCCACAACTCTCTTGGCCCATCACACAAGCATAGACATCATCGTATCCTTGTTCATTGCCCTCATTTTGAGTGTTTTCCTCTTGAGACATGCAATTTTGCATTTCCTCCTTGAATATTATATAAAGCTATTAGTAATTCAAAACAACTTGTTAATTCATACCATTTAATACACACTTGAATAAGTATAGTATTAAAGAACCTGATCTTGGATTTACAGGTGTTCCATTTTTTTCTTGTGTATTGCATAGAACACCTTTGCACGTGATACATCAGTTTCTCTCTCTATTTGCTATTACTATGAAAACAATATGCAATTATTTTTAACATATACAAAAATGAATGAATGCAAAAAGTATAATGAATAAATCAATTTTGTATATTTACCAATTTCTTGCGTACTCTTGCAAAGCTCTTTGATCCTACTGTGTGGTTGACTATTTGTTTGGAACGGTTAGCTTTGTTGGTTATGGATTTTGCCTATATTAAAATACAACTAATTTGCATTTCACTCATTCAAATAAAAAACAAAAGTATTTAAATATTTAAGATACTTGCAGTCCATTTATTAGATCTCAAAAACTGTACCAAAATTTTCCATAGTATGTAACAACCCGATTTTCAAAGTGGACTTCCATTTATTAGTAGTGCATCTGCACTATCTGGATCAGGGTCATAATATTTTTTCTTCAAAGTGGACTTCCAATCCCTCTACTTTTTACCTAATGACTTCATAGTGTAATCTTTCATGTCATTACTCACCTTGAATTTTTTCTATAACCAAAATAATAAATCAATCATCATGTCTGCATAAGAGAAATGTCTAAAAAATAAACAAACAAAAAAATGATGAATTTAATACCTTGATAAGTTTCCATGTCTTCCTTTGTTTCTGTAGGAATTTCTCTCCAATCGTCAATGTCTATGGGCAACTGGTTTGGAGTTCGTACAAGGCTACCTAAAAATCTAATTAAATCCTTTGTTTTTTCATCATTAGGTTGGTTGTATCCATTGGACCCTATTTCAATTTGTTCCCCTTCAGGCATGTTCCATATATCTAATGCCATAGTGAGGCCTCTTAACCTACGTGTTGTACAAGAAGACCCCTCTCCAACATGCCCACTAGAGGACTCCTCATGCCTTTCCAAGTCTGGGGACTGGGTTGGATGAGTCACTAATTGACTTGCATGTGCCCGTGTGTCTTCTATATTAAGTGTTTTACTAATGGTCGGGCGGGCCCCTGATTTACTTGCTCGTGATCGTGTCCTCTTTTCTTTAAGTTTCTTCGATATGTTCATTCTAACCCGTTACAACATTGTTAGGTTGGCATTCATAAATTAAATTTAGATCATCAAAACATAATCACCAAGCAAGGTATTTAGAAGTACAATGAAATAACTTGTAGGTCTTGTCAAGAACTAATCAGAGAAAATCTAATAGATCATCCATTTTGATTGGTAGGTCTTGTCAAGAACTTCTATGTTATGGACGCCTTCCTCGGGAAGACGTACCATCGCCGCCGGCAGCAACAGGCCCCGGGCCCACCGCCAGCAGCAGCAAGGATTCAGTGATGCTCATCCTACCCAGTTCGGCAACAACAGCCTTATCTAGATTA